GAAACAGCTGCATACTATGGTCACAGATGGCACAAAGAGCTCTGTGGCGCTAGCGGGAGCTCCGTAATTGGATGCACATTTTTGGGTGACACCTTTCAGATTCATAAATACAGATAATTCCCATCCAGCGCGTGTCCACCATGTGGGTTGGATAATGCTGAAGCGGTGGATTTATCATGCTAATGGCACTGCCAAATACAAAGACTGATGGCTCAGCAAAACACAGAGAGCGGCGGGCAGGTCACCAGACTCTAGTGAAACATACTTCAAAACGCTGACGCATACAAACCAGTCCCTTCACTCGTAATCGTTCCAAACTGTAAACAAGAGTACAAGGACAATTAGCATACAGGTGGAAAACACTGAGATGGCGCAACAACGTCTAATTTTTGAAGACAAACAATAAAGGCATTGTCTTTCGTCGCTGTTTCGTGAGCGTGTTTCATTCTACTCCACGTCAAATTGTTGTGACAGTTGTTTGGCCCGTTCCCTGGATTGCAGGTAAAATCACCTTCCCAAGGCTCTCTATTGATCCGTGCATATTGTATTTCTTCTGCGGCCTGCTTTCCCTTCTGCTTGTGTCTTTTGTTCTGGTGTCCCTGAGAGGATTGTGGGCCCAGCTTGCCAGTGACTTGCCAAACCTGCAGAGAAACTGGTTCTAATCCAGCTCATTTACCTGATAGTATGACACAGCCTAGATTTTGGGATCATGTGTGTTTACGGTAGAATAGCGAAAAGTTAGGCGTTATACAACTTATTGTATTTGTTGAGATCAAATGTCAAGGAAGCTGTTACATACAGGGGCAGGATGATCTGGTGCCTTGCTGTGGATCATTTGCGAATGTCAGAACCCAGTTGAACCTCCATAATCTAATAACAGATTTTGTATTGGAATTGGAAAGTAGGTTGTTTGTTCATTTGGTCATTTCCATTCTTGACTTCACATTTTAAAATGTGGCCTTAGATTCAAACACAAAATCCCAACATTCAATTTCTCCAATTTCCCATGGACCATCCTCACCTTCGTCTTTCTTATTTTGATCAAGTGATTAAAGGATGAACCTTCATACATCTGCTCCATGCTCCCCAGCTTGGAGAGTTCCACAGGTCTTTAAAAATAAATCCATGGTGAGTTGATTTAGGACAACAAGAGGATTATTCCATCCTTCTGTTTAATAAAGTGGTTCTTCAGGTTTCTCAACAGCAAGTCAAAGTCTCTTGACAGCTGTTCGCATTGATGAACAATCCAATGATCAATACGCAGTCTGTTAACACAGACCCTACTGACTACAGCGTACTTGAAGTAGTTAAACAAAGAGAATGGTGATGAATGGATGTGAATCAGGACTTTGACTGCAACAACTTTGTGAAGAGGAAAGAAGCAATTGACAATATATACTATATTATTATATAGATTGTTATTCTATAGACATTCAGAGCATTAATATAACAGCAAACAACTGTTGTTATGTAAAGATATGGCAGAGTAATCTCTTCCTGGAGTTAATGCAAAAAAAGGTGGGATTCATGAACAAAAAAAAATGTAATTTAATAAAACTAATTTAAACGTAAGCCAAAAGAACAGAAAACTGATTAAAGCTGCCACCTCCTTCCTCCCCCGTACTCCGCTGAATGGAATTGTACATTCTCTGCCTCACTCAACTGGAACCTGCCCAAGTAAGAGAGCAAAAGATCATCAAAAAATAATTAGCAAAATTTTAATGTAAGATTTCTGAGTTATTGCTGACATTACAATGTATCTATGGGCACCACACACATCAACGAGCGCACCAAAAGAAGTAAAAGAATGTAAATTATTTCTACATCTCAACAGGCTCCAGCCCCTCCCTGCTAAGAAGACATAATGAGACACACCTGTTAGCACTATCCCTGATTGAGCAGTTGATTTACATCAACATCCCAGGCAGAACAACATCACACGCCACAGAGTGAACCCCTATAAACAACAAGTGTGTGTGGTTTATGTAACCCCATTGATAATTTATCAAATAAACTGAAACATTGGACAGAATTAATCATGAGTAAGACACACAAAAATTATGCTAATTTGGGGAACATAACAGCCTGGCGTCCTTGTGTGAACAGTGCAAAAATAAAATCCTTTACCGGATTAAGGACGATTAGTCCACTGAATGCCTGTCCTGTTACTGAACAACACTGCTGAGTGACTCTTCGCTAACCCTCGAGCCCACACTGTCACTAACTGCACTCCCTGAAAGACATAATACACTGTTCCTTTAAAGCTGGCTCGGTCTTTATTCACAAGCAACAGCAGCATTTGTATCCATTCAGTATACCGGACTCTGCTAATGTTAGCTGAACATGTTTTTACGTAGAAACGTAACGTTGTAGAAACGTAATAAGTCTCCTTCCAACCTCTCCAGGTAACGAGTATCACTATTACACAACTTTTAACAAGGACAATCCACAAAACCGGCCTGAAAATGAAGAAAATCTGCAACGGTTGACGTAATTTGCTTGTAGAATTTCTCATGTTGTTTAACCTTTTGCCGTTTTGTTTTATGTCTGTCTGTGCTTTTTTGTGAAAACATTTAGGCTGCTGTCTTGGCCAAAAGTGCCTTATTAAAGAGTTTTTAAAACTCATGTGGGAATATCCTGGAAAAATAAGGTTAAATTGAATTGTTATATATATATATATATATACTGCCTCATCAGGAGGCATTATATCTTTGTACAAGATTTGTCAAAAGGATGAACTATAATAAAGACCAAGAGCTTCCATTGTGGTCTTCTTTTGAGACGTGCTTTTTCAACTGAGCACACAAAAGATTACAGCTCCGACAGGTAAAACAGAAGCACGCCGCAGCCTTGACAGCTCTCTGCTGCCGTTAAAGAAAAATACATTACCAGTCAATCTTTCATATGCACTTTCAGACGTTTGCCATTCACAGGGTGACGCTTCAGACGACTCGTCGTTCAGTATGTCTCTCGTATTTCTGGCAATAGCGAGTCCATTTAAAAACTGATTTAGCTCAACTAATTGCAGTGCACTCAAGCCGGCCTTTGAGGCTCTCCTGTTTATCAGTCGGAGACAGGTGCATACTGTGTGCAACGTGTGGTCCGCCCATAGCCACGTATGTGCATGTTCACAGCGACACAGACTCATGCCAGCAGCATGTTATGCACTGTGAGTCATGTGTATTGTGAACAGGAATAACTATAGCAGTGCGGTGTTTTGACCATCACCCAACATGTTTGTTTGCTCTGGCCATCAGATGGGATTTAGTAATGAGAACAAGCAAGTCTCATTTTAGTGCTAATACCATATCGCCCGACCTGGAGCATTTACATGGGCCGTTAGTGCATTCTCTCAAAGTTAAAATATGTAAAACTGTGTCTGACATCTGTCACCAGATGAAAAAACGCTTTTCCTCATCTTACTGTTATTTTCTTCTCAAAACCCTCCTGCTTTATATGCAACCTCAGCGTACCAATTTATACTTCTCAGTTGCTACAAGAGCCACATTGTTAAATAATTCAAGTACAGTACGTGTTTCACAAACCACTGCAACATGATATATTTTAATTGACAGCTAAGGTTCAGGATGGCACCATTCAAACTGCCTAATGGCTTCTTTTTTTTCCAAATTTGAAATCACATAAAACTCTTAATGGTTACGGGATGAAATGTGGAGTGATAGCTTTGGGAGATTGAGGACTGAGGAGAGGCGGAGGAGGTATATTCGTTAAAATAAAGTTGGTGTTGCCTGTCCATCAGCGTGGTGAGCAGACCTGGAGGAAGAGGGCTGTGTATGAAACTATAGCTTTAACTTTGCCTCCTGTAGACGTGCACACGCACACACACACACACACACACACACACACACACACACACACACACAC